AATATTCTTACCAGAGTAAGGGTTAATACCATTCATTTTCTCCCTTTTTTGTACATAAAACGGGTAACACTTTGAAACAATTTTAAAGTTCCACATTTTTAGCGCGTTTACTGATTTTTAATTTTAAAAAATGAATCAATAAAACTCTCTATAATTTAGAACATTCCTGTTCATTCTTTAGTTCACCAGTTTGTGAACCATACTTTAGTTTTTCTGTGTTTATAGTAAACGGTAAGGCTTATAAATGTGTGTAAACCACGATGAAAACTTGTGAATTATGAGTTTGTACAAATCAAGCAAGTCGCATGTGTCAATTATTCCTTGAAGTACGTAGGTCCACCTGTTGAAAGTGCTAAGGATTTTATCGTTTAGTTTTATGTTACTTCCAAATTTTTAAATTATCTCAAAGCACATATATTCAACTAATTCATTGCAAATTAACTCTATAGAGCAGTTGCGGGGAATACATTATACTTCAATTTAAGCGTACCAGTGATAAATAAATAGAATAAAATATTGTGGCAGAAAAAAAAATCGTAGCGGTTTAAAATATACGATAAACGTTGCAGACAACTAAGTATGTAGGTTCGAACAATAAATTTTTCACAAGCGAAAATAGAAAAAATAAATTTTGTCAGCTGTTTCAATTTTATCGTCTTAATGCCGCGAATGAGGACTCAACTGACAGAAAAGGTCAGTAGAAAAATACATTAAGCCGACGCCAAACGAAAGTAAGGCCCCCCAGTGGCACAGCGGTATGTCTGCGGACTTACAACGCTAGAATCCGGGTTTCGATACCCGTGGTGGGCAGAGCACAGATAGCCCATTGTGTAGCTTTGTGCTTAATTACAAACAAACAAACAAACGAAAGTAAGGTTTAATGCTGGGTGTAACACGGGTACCTTTCCATTGGACGAACGGTTTGTGTGTTACAGCTCCAAATAGTGTAAAAAGGAGACCCAAACCCTTTTATACCACTACTCTTAAGTTCGCTATCTATGGTACTAATAGCAATTTTCCTAACGGTTTCTCAATAATATTTTATAAAATAATTTCCTCTGTGTTTCCTACTCTGCTAACTCTGTCAACTCTTGTTTACTTTGATAAGAAGGGGAAAAAAATCTGATTTGCAGGAATACAGCTAATGCTTTCGGTGTTTAGGATGTAAAAAATCAGTGCTTTCTTTAATTTTCTCAATAGTTTCCAGTGTTTCTTTTTGGATAATGTTTTGAATATACATTCCCCTATTTAATAAAGGTTATGATTCAGCCTGTATGGATTTCTGTGAGGTCTTAGAAACTGCATTTCAGATCTGTAATTTTTTTAGTTTAAGTGTATTCGTCAATAATGTTAAAAAGAAGAAAGACGGGAGCCTACACTCAGTTAGTAGTTAATTTCCAATGAAGTTACTATCATGTATCTAACATCGTATCAAAATATTATCTAATTTTATGTTTATTATATAAATGCTTCTTATAAGGATGATTTTACGCTTGTAGAAGAACATTTGGTAAAACGGAAATAAAAAAACAAAACAATGTATAGCACCGAAAAAGATAAAACAGCTAAACACATGTTATAAGTTGATTCTTTGGTTATAAATTTGCTTTACCTGACATTAAACTATAGACATTATTTGATTAAAGAAACAGAGATTTGCGGTTTCTGTCAATTATTCTTAGTGACAACTGAAATGTATTGTATAAAGCACGTTGACTTACAGCGTCCTTGGCCAAACATCGCGTTGTCCGTTACTTTTTCTGCTCCGAGATATCCTAAAGAGCGACACACAATGTCACCCTCTCTCTGATCCCACTCGTCGTCACAGATAGAACCCCATTTGCCCATGTGGTAAATTTCAACGTTGCCTTGATTGGGGGTGCTTCCCCCTACTAAACGGATTTCTCCCTCCTTTATACCTCTTTCGTGGCGCCGTGAAGTATTATAGAAGTTTGTTAGCCACTGGCTAGTTACAGGACAGTTCAGGTATAAAATTATAAAGATAAATATATAAAGAAGGCCAGGGGCCTTGGTTAGAAAATTAAGTAGGGCCATTTTGTGTAAGAAACTTGTTGATACTAAAAGATTAAACTACAAAATCTAGAGGTTGTTATAGTTATCATGAATATCCTTCAGATACAATACACGTTAACAACCTAACTCTATCAGGCTCTAAGAAGTATGTCGCAACTTATGGAACTGTTACACATAGACAGAAGAGAAGGAGGAGTGTCCTAAGGAACAGAATACCACGTGGTGCTTGCTGGCACTAGGTCCAAGCCACGTTCTGTACAGCTGATGACGTATAATAAAGATTGACCTAGCACTTCTTTAAAAAATCCTGGCAGTCTGAGAAGTGGCTTCCTGACTGAACTCTTCCTCATTATATTACTGTTTTCTAAATGTCATACTCCTACTATAAAAATCCCAGTTGTTCACGTTTTAACGAGTCCTATCAGATGGAATCTCTATTTCGTATTCGAAAAACAACTAACCAATTAATATGTAGATGTTAATTCAACATTTAATGGTACAACTACATTCTCAATTTTTAACTTCTAAAGAACACATTTTGATTTGATTTTTTTTAAAACATTAAACCGGATTCGTTACAATTAACACATTATGAAGTTATAAAACATGACTAATTATATATGCACATGACAGCATGTTAGCTATATTAACTTTGAAGTTAAATATTGTTCGAAAAAAGTACCTGTTTCTAACAGTGACGCATTCTGAGAGAGGATGGATAAAATAGAAGTAGATTTCTAAGCATCTTCAATAAATAACCATGTAAAAATGTATAACGAAACAAAAGCCACAACCTCTGCAGTAATACTGCAAGGTTATCTCTCAGTAGCTTAGCAGTAAGCTTGAACATTTATAAACCTAAAATAAGGGTTCGATCCTCGCGGCGAACAAATCACAACTAGCTCATTATGTAGGTTTGCATTAAAACAAATATACAAATATACGAGGTAGATAAGTTTTAGATAATAATCAGTTGTAAAATTTTAGTTGTAAGTAGTGTATGACTTAAGTTGAAGAAGTGACATGATTTGTAAAAAAGTGTCCCTTTTTGTTTATTTGTTTGTTCTCAAGCACAAAGCTAAACAATGGGTTGTCTGTGTTGTACCCATCACTAGTGTTGAAACCTGGTTTTTAGCGTTATAAGCTTTCTGTGTTACCACTGAGCCACTGGGTGGAGGGAGGGGTAGGCAATAATGTCTCTCTGTAAACGGTATCATATTTTAAGTGTTTTCGAATTCTACTGTTAATCTGTTGATAATGCAATTTCTGATCATACACTTTTTTATGCCTATCTTTGAGTAACGAATCATTCTACTGCTATTACTCATTGTCTGTTTTTCTTTTTAATTAATGACTAAGCTCTGCATGAGTGCATAGTAAGTCTGGTTATTGGCTGCTAAACCACTTTTTTTGTACCAGGGAAGTTGTAGAGCATCACTAGCTAGTTGGCCTGAAGGCCAGATTAATCAGAATTTTCCTTCTTCTCTACTTAAAGATTTGAGCTATAAGTTCAGAAAAATCTTTTTATAAGCATTTGATATTTTTTATTGGATATTTTCTGTCACATGTTTAAAATATTTCAAGGAAACGGTACAAACGGGCAATAAAAGAAGCATTATCACTTAAACATGCTTATCCTTTCAAGCCATACATCTCGTATCTTGTGGCCGAGAACTCTGTTCAAAACTATGTAACCCACAGATTCTAAGATGGCTCAAGAGTAGTGGGAATATTATACCCTGTAACCTGAATCTAGAGCAAAAGTTACATCCAAAGTACTTTTACCAAAATAAGAAGTCGAAATATAAACGTCACAAACCAGTCATAGCGTTCTAATTAAACTTGAGAAGATGATTTTCCACGCAATCCAACATCATACATCAAAGAGCATATTGAGTTCTGAAGAGGCAAATAAATTCAAACAGGAGAAACTTAAGGAAGAATACCTACCTACTTTTAAATTATCTGTTAGTGAGATTCTTGAAAGGTGCTTACTTAACTTTCAGAATAACTGTCAGTAGAAATAATAATTTTGTGGAACAATAAAGTTTCCTACCAAAATCATATTATAAGACGAGCAGCTGATGAATATCTAATGCCAAATTCTGATGATAACTTCACGTTAATGCCCAATCAGAGTTGTTTTCTATGGCTTAGATAAAATGTCAATTTGTAAACTTGTGGGAAGACTCATTCACATTGCATGATGTAGCATCAATGCATACTTTCCTTTAAGGGGAACATTAGACCACACACTGGCTCCAAATACAAAGTTATGATGTGTAGGAGCAGTTCAAACAGATACTTCAACCAAGCTATTAAACATCCACATTTCGCTATTCAAAAAAGTCTAAGCCCAACAAGGGAGCATTTACAGTATCAGTGGAAAGCAAAAGGCCAACCTAACCAAAGTCGATTATTAAGCTTTATTTTGAATGTTATACCTTTTAAACTTTATTTGTAGAAAATTAACGGTTGCTTCCGAGTAAAATGTCCAACCCAGTTGATTGTAATATGAACAAAAACTAGACAAGAACTCCTCTCACTAGAGTGAGAGGGTGGTCAACATAACACAAGCAAAGCATATAGACATTAGGCAATTATGAACTTCTCCAGAAATTTCTTAAGGTATACTAACATAAAGGATGTTCTTATAAAATGTTGATGTTGTAAATAAACATTTACTTTATTAAATACAGCTTCAAAAGGAAGTGCTACTTTTCCTCACTTCTACTTGAGTGACTTTGTTCGTCTTAGTCACGAAATGCATCTTTGGTGATTCTCAGACAGATCTTTAACGAGTTTTGAGGAATGTGGTTTTGTGCTTGAGAGGATCAAGACTAGCTTGTGAGCTCTATCTTCCTTTTGTTCCTGTCTCTTTCCTGATACTGATCGTGGGTACTTTATTCGTTTTAATTTGATTATTCATCATTAAAAGTTTGTTTTCATTTCCATTATTTCAATACAGTTTGTTTATTTAACTTTTTATTTTTATTGTTTTTACATTATATCACAACAAAATATTGACAGTCGACTCTGACAATCAGCCACTTCTCAGTTTATTTTTGCCAGTAATGAGGCGGCTTATTTCTATTCGAAACTTCAACACCATGTATGTTTTATTTATTTCTTCCCAGAATATCTGAGTTGAATGTTCAATGCTCTCCTACACGTTGGATCGACTAATGGAGAAGCAGTAGAAACATGTGTTATCATAATGGGCAAACTAGTGATTTGTGGTATAGTTTAGTTCTTTTCTTATGTCCACACAGTAGCCCAAATGTCCTCCAAATAGAAAAAATAACGACCAGTAAGCTGTATATCTGTCAGTTCTGTTAAGTTAAACTAACGAGACCAGGTTTAGCTACTTAGAGAAAACATCTATCTGTTTATGTCTTCAGGTGTGGTAGTTAGTACACCTATGGGGCTGAACATGGTTTGGTGACATTGCTTTAAAGGATGTGTGTCTCTGGTATGATTGTTCCAGCTGGTATCTCTGCCATATTTACAAGCCATAACCAGAACATATCTTACACTTGAAGACATGATTTTTTTAACCAACTGCGGCCTGTTTTTTTTTCTGTTTTGTTGTTGCTGTTTTGTTTTTTAAGCAGTGTATTCCACATGATGATTCAACCATAGCATTAGCTGATGATTTTACTTGAGATACTATTCGAGCTCGCCATGAAACATCACTTGAATATAAGATGGATTGGTAATGTGTGGTTTATAAACACTCATGCAATCCACTGCTCTTGTACATATTTTGATCGACATTTTATGGTTTCACAAATCATCTGGTTCGCCGGCTATGCTAATTATAACGTGTGTAGGACATCTAAACCTAAAACGCTGATACTTGAGCCAAGACTTGCTTTTACAACTCTCGCATGATTAGTGGTGGTACCAAAAGTGGAACAGAATCAAGCTCCTTCTTTCACTGTAAGCCGATAACCATTCAAAAAGGGCAAGCCTGTTTACTGGCTCGAGAGCTGGCTTACATGATAGTGCTTGACAAAATCAAGCCCAGTTGTAGCAGCATCTGCATCAAATAAAAACTCTACCGTGTGTCTATTTCATTTCACAGGCACACAGGCAGACTTTCTTGGATTACTTGGGATGTAGGTGGGTTTCGATAACAGCACAGATAATCTTATGTAGCTTTATGCTTAACAACAAAGTTTCTGGTGAATAATTGCATTTTCTTGAAGAATTCTACAGTTTTTAATTATTAAGTAGTTTTTTGTAATGAATGAATGTAATATCCAGTTAAGAAAACTCAATTTTGTTGCGATGAATGATATGAGCTTGATTAAACAAAGCATTTTTTATTTGAAAAATGAATAAGTAAAGATAGATAACTTATGTTTAGAGGAGTGGTTGAAATATAGCCACATGATGTATTTGACTAAGCTGCCATCTAATGGTAGTATATAGAATTAAAATATTTAGGAACGAATTATTTTGATGTTAGCCTTTGTACCCAGATAACTCTAAATTTAAGTATTATTATCATATTTCCGTCAGATAATAAATTTTTCATTTGATTTGATTAATAGAAGCTGTCTATTATACTTTTTTGATTATTCTTATGGAAATTAAACACAATACTAATGTTTCCTGATCTCATATAATCCAAACGGTCTCAAGTAATACACTTGGCCTTAAATAATTCTAGTTATTTCGTGTAATCTATCCAATTTCAAGCATTTCAACTGACCTCAAGTATTCTGATACATATAAATAAATCGCTAGAATAATTGTGTACAAACAGACAAATACACTGGCTCTGCTAAACACTGACTATTTTTTAACTTCAAATGTTTATTTAGCCAAATGATGATTCAATAACACTTGTGTTTAATTCTTTTAGATTTATGTGTAGAGTTTGTACATATCATTAAGAGACAGTTGCACAAGCGATAAATATTTCTTTGTTATTGTAAGATTGAAATCATTCCATTTCAAATTGGTTGTCTTAAAATTCTTATCAAAGGGCTGAATAGGTGTATATCGGGAAATTTACATATATGTTAAAACATTGCATTTTTTTTCTGGTAACCACAAGTCCACATGAATGGCAACAGCAACTAAAAAGAGCTAATAGACTGATCCCAAATGCTGTTTAAACTGTAACTAAAGATAGTATATCTACATGTAATATACCACATGCAAAAACTCATACATTTAATT